CTGATTTTCATGAAGGTCTTATGATACAAATTCCTTGGTTTACTCCTTTAGTTCATTCAACTTATATTAATTGACTTTCCAGGATGTGCCAAGCACCTGGCTGGATACTGATGATACGACAATGAATAGAGACAGAGTCCTTGACCTCATGGGACATTAGCCGCTGGGTTCTCTACCAAGTTCAATCAGTATAGCTCATCTCACTGAGTCCTTTCAACGGCGTCCAAAACTGAGGTGAGACTAAGAAGAGTCAGAAACGTGTGGTGACTTAACATATTGCCTAGATGGGAGGTGTGATGGCTACTTTTGTGACTCAACTTGATTAGGCCATGGGGTGCCCAAATATTTGGTTAAACATTATTCTTTGTCTGTCTGGGAGGGTGTTTCTGGATGAATCAGTAGAGTGAGTATAGCTGCTCCCCTCCCTAATGTGGGTGGGCCTCATACAGTTCGATGGAGGCTTGAGTAGGACAAAAGAGGCGGAGTAAGGAAGAAGTCACTCTCTTTGCCTGGCTGTCTTTGAGCTGGGACCTGATATTCTCCTGCCTTTAGACTAGAACTCAGACTGAGACTTACACCATTGGCTCTCCCAAGCCTCCAGCATGCTGACTGCAGATCTTGGGATGTCTCAGCCTTTCTAACCACGTGAGCCAGTTCCTTGTATATATGTGTCTCCTATGGGTCCTGTTTCTCTGGAGAACCCGGACTAACACAGGGAAATAAAAGACAGAACAATGTCCGATAGCAGAATAGTTCTGCCTAAAGTTTGCTTCTTCACTGCTTAAAATGTTGCAGTTTATTAAGGCAGACATTTTAAATGGAATGTCTAGCAAGTGAAAAAGTGTAATTTGGAAGAACACTGAAGAGCTTCTCTTCTGGTAGATGACATGATCATTTTAATGAGCAAAAAGAAAAATGTATTGCTGCCTACACACACCTGAAACAAATCAAATCAAACCAAACCACAAAAAATTTCTGTCCTAATGATTTCGTCCTATTTTTGAACAAATTGGATGCATGTTGTATGGAGGGCAGAATGTTGAGTTTCTCTTATATGTTTATGACTCTCATTTATATGAACAGTAATTTTAAAGATAACTGGCTCTGCAAGAAAGAATGTCTTGGGATAACCGCCCTAAAATAATAATAGAAGACCTCAGAATTCTATACAAGATACCAATCCATTTAGTGTCTCAGAGACATAATTTACAAGTACTTTATCTCAAGGGATTAACTACTACATTAAACTGCTTAAGCTGAGAGATTTCTATGAGTACTGAGATTTTAATGGCTTGGTGGGCGTTTGGTGACACTAACCTTAAACATTTTCCAGGTTAAAATTATCTCAGTAATGCCATGGTGCAGAACTGTGGAGTCCTGGTTGTCCTTCACCTGTGCACTGATGAGACCCAGAAGTGTTTTTATGAGGGAGGGATGCTCAGTCTTGACTAGAGTGTTCTTCCCCCCTCCCATTTCCATGTATATAAGTGAATACCTTTTTTTTTTTATCAAGAATTTTTCCTACTTAGGGTCTTCATTTTTTCATTAAGCTATGTAATTTCTATCCCCAGTTGGACTGATTATGAAAGCATATAGATCTGCCTTTAATTAGCAACAGAATATTTGCACTCTAGGCTCATGTCAGCAAATACAGTGCTTCTTGGTCAATACTAATCAAACACCCAATTATGAGATATAATATTTATTTATAGAGCATTGACTGAAAGTTATGCAGCACATTTATTCCTCTGGATACTCTAAAATCAATCCTTGAATTAAGATGGACTGTCAGAACCCAGCCCCTCACAGAACTACTGTGAATTGAGCTCTGGCATTCATTAGGCATCTCCAGCGAGGGCTGTAAGGAAACACCTGACACGGATGTTGTACGGTAGGGAGGTTGATGCAGACAGCACGTGGTGCCCCTTAACCCAGACTCTCCTCATTATGAGGACTCACGGGAGAAATTCTTTCTCCTAAGCAATTGCATGTTGAAAGCATGCAGACTCTAAATTACATGGCTTGTGTTATCCTCATTGCGCAGTCTGCTAAGAAGCTCAGAGCCCAATTTATGAGCCTCCTAAAACAAATTGGAAGAACTTTATGATGCTTGTTTTGTACACAGTCATCTATCTGATTTTTAAAATGACATGTTGAGGTGAAATGTAACATAAAAGCAGCCATTTTAAAGTAAACTACTCAGTAATTGTAAATTAGTAAATTCACAATGTTGCACAACCACCGTGTCTATCTAGTTCTAAGCCTTTAAAAAATTTTTTCTTTATTGTTTTTAGAGAGAGAGGAAGGGAGAGGGGGAGAGAGATAGAAACACTGATGAGACAGAACATTGATTGGCCACCTCCTGCATGCCCCACACTAGGGATTGGGCCCACAACCCAGGCATGTGCCCTGATGGGGAATCGAACCGGTGACCTCTTGGTGCATGGGTTGATGCTCAACCACTGAGCCACACCGGTTGGGCCAAAGCCTTTTTCATTACTCTAAGTCATCTGACTTATTTTCATTTTACTTTTTCTTCCATTTTCTTTCAAGTTTTTAAAATAAAATCTTGTTTTATGTTATGCATGTTGGTAAGTCATCATAATTTCTTTGAATGAGGTAGGGTTTTAATAAACAAATTATATATAAAAAAAATCTATTGACAAGCCACAGTGCAGGAGGTTGAGGAGTAGTAGTCAGGGAATAGGAGAACCAAGAAGTCATTTTGTGAGAACCAAATAGAAGAGTCTCATAAAGGGAGTGGTTAACAGAGCCACCCACCAGAAGCATCAAGTAAAATGAAGATGGAAATGAAGTTGCTAAATTGACGAATTAGGAAGCCATTTGTGAAAACTGTGTACCTGTAACCTGTGATTAGAAGTGAAAACTTGTGAAACCTTGTGGTGATTAGGAGGTGAGATAGTAAAGACCCAGAAGGCTAAAAAAAAAAAAAAAAGACAGTATAATGAAATCGAGATACAATAAGATGGGTTTGCGGGCAAAGCAAGTTTGAGGAATATATATTTGTAATGATGAAGCCACTTAAGTCAAACATAGTGCAATAGGTAGAGGAAACTTGAATGATGGTCCTGGTTTTGTAAGCAGTTGTAGTGTGACCTTGAGCAAGCCCTTCTCATCTCTAGGCTTCGTTTCTTATCTGTGAAACACAGTAGCTTAGCTAGATTATATCTATGTTATATTCATGAATGGAAAGAATGTATAAATAAAATGAGAAGAGTAAAGCAATTTTGAAAATACAATAGTACTTTCATCATAGATATACTATTATTTTTATTAATCTACCTGAAATGCTGATCTTATAATAAGGTTTTATGATATCATATTGTTATGATATCCAGTGAGCATTTAATATCAATTATTTCACCAAAAGGTTTGTTTTGTTTTGTCCAACTAACTTTTAAATGATTTAAGAGTTAAAATAGTGGTTGATATGAATTGTGGTTAAGAATGGCCATACGTTCTTTGATACCTCTCCCATAAAGAGATGCATTCCGTGTTCCCTCCTCTTGAATCAAGATGGGCTCCATGGCTGACTCACCATTAAAATGTGAGCAATTGACACTGTTTCTTGGCCCTTAAGAGAGTGGCAGCTTCTACTGTCCGTCTCTTGCAATACTGACTCTTTGTATCCAGCTGTTAGGCTGGGAGGAAGCCCATAGAGCAGGCCTATAGAGAGCAGAAATGAGACCCCAGCCAAGAGCTCTGGTTGAGCAGCCACATAAGTGAACATTTTGGAAAAAGGATCTTCAACGTCAGTTGAGATAGTCTAGCTTATACAACATGGGGGAGGGAAGAGTTGCCCCATTGCCTGCCCAAATTTCAGATTTATGGTAAAAGTAAATTACTGTTGTTTCAAGCCACTAACTGCAGGGTTGGTTTGTAATAAATGTTGGTTAAAAACTCATTCACTGGTAATCATGTAAAGAAAATATAATCTGTATAGATGGTTCTGCTATCATGCCATGTATGCATTTGTGAAAAATGTAGTTTTCCATAAAGTTGCATACTGATTTGCACACGAGGTTTATGAGAAAAATAGGGTTGTGGTGGACCACTCAAAGCTTATAGAATTTTGTAAAGAAGAACCCTAACAATATCAGTAGCAATCTTATTAAAATATTAGCCGTGACACATCTCCACTGGCATCTGCACTTAGAATCACAGTGTGTCCTTACCCACCTTCTATCCCGGGGTTCATGTTTCCTTAAAAGACAATGTTACCTGCAGTTTCACCAGAGAGCTACATTAAGTGGGCAGCACAGGGGTTCTTGAAGCCACTAAATCAGCTACATAGACTCTTCTTCATAATTTTCAGGTTTGTTTTTCCTTCATAAGGTCTTCATATATTATTAAAGATTTCTCTTTAATTATGAGAACGTTTGACCCTATTATCTAAAAAATGAACATTTTTGGAAATTCCAAAGTGAACCAAGAAGATTTCAATGTTTACTAACACCCTTATTGATCAATTGTATATGATCTAATTGGTGTGAAAGAGACACATGGAACAAAACAGACAGTATTGATGGTCAGCCTGTATGTGACAAATAGGAATCCACATACTGATTGTGAAGGCCCAATCCTCTGCTGCCACGGTCCCTCATTGTGGACTTGGGCCTTATGACCTACCTTGTCCTGACCAACTCTCAGTTTGTAAGCCCAGTAGTAGAGATGGCTGTTCTGTGGGGGCAGCAGTTGGAGCTGCTTTGGTTTGAGCCTCTTTCACCAATTTCACCAGGGAAGGACTATTTATGCTCTCTGTGATCCTGGGACTAGAGCCGAGGGGAGGACACCAAGGTCCTCCTCTTCAGAAGAGGGTGGTTCAATGGACTGCTTTCCTGTTGGCAATACTGGTGTGAGGAAATCTTCTCCTGAGCCAAGGATGACTTTATCACTGGGCTTTAAGGTTGCGTCATAAATTGATTTCTCAAAGAGGATACTGTTATCTAACATAGACTTTGTGGGAAGGAAAAACTCACCAGGAAGACTGTGTCCTTCTCTTTTCACTGTCTCGAGCCTGGGTTGACCAAGAGGAAGTTCTGGACTCAAAGTAGCATCCTGAAGAATGAATTTAGACAGATGTTGAGAAGGGACGTTTTTCTGTATATGTGAAGGGCTCTAATCTCTCTCTCTATTTTTTATTTTAATTTAAGCCAATTATTTTAGTTGATTTCAATTTACTATGGATCCTGATATAGGTTCTGATAGAGAAATATGTCCTGAGCAGAATGCATGCATTAATACAGTAGTTAGATGCGATTTCTTGGTTTCTCGGCCAATTGAGTCTGCCTATGTAGGGTTAACTCATAACTGAAATTCTTTGAATTATGTCAGTCATGTTTGGAGTTATGAATTCTTTATTTAAAGAGGGAGTAAAGCTTAGTCAGCACTTCCATTTATGAATACCCCAGTGACTTCTTTTGGCATAAATGAAATGAAACATAAAAACTTTTATTGAATTTATTTTTACTTTCTAGGACATTAATTTGTACTTATGAGACTCCCATAAAAATATATAGATAAGACCTTAAGACATAAGAATAAACTTACAAATTATGTTTATGTTTTTATTTTTGGAAGTTCAAGTTAATTTATTCTGCTTTAAGTGTTCTTTTTAGTTCACGAACATGTTTATTTGATCAAAAACAAAGCAAATCATGACTCTCTAATGGAAACAAAGATCTGACTACACTGAAGGACACTGGATTTTAGGACATTTGAAATGCAAGTTGTATTATATTTTACTAATGCAGATATTAAAGTGGGTAATCAAGTACTGCCTGTAAAAAGCAGCAATTAGTCCTGCAAAGGAGAGTTTACTCTCTTCAGTCTTCAGTTGATTGTGTGTGTGTGTGTGTGTGTGTGTGTAAGTTTTTGAGGCTTTGTTTCTACTTGAAGAACACAAGGACAACAAACTGACCTTTGTGGTATCAGCAAGGCGTGTAGGCAGCACTGACTGGGTCTTGGGATCAGAGCCAGGTAATGATCCAGTAATTTCTGTGGATGAAAAATCACAAGGTTTGAGTGTTTTGTTATTTACTCTTTTTCCCTTTGTGTTTGGGCAATAAAACAGTTAGGGTTGAAAATGTGGTACTAATCAGTTCTTAAGGAATGGTACAACAAATCATTAAGAAGTCAGTGTCACATAAACTAAGGGTCATTGATCTGAGTCATAAATTGAAGGACAGATGCAAAGGGTATATCTTGCATGTTTATGTGATAAGAGCAGTTATTAAGATGGATTTTTAGGGTGTTTAGTTTTATTGTACAAATATAGACAAAGTAGACAGGCTGGTTGGCTAGGCCAGTGAGGATGAAAACATAACTGAACTGACAAAGAAAGAAATGTCTAGAATAAATACTGGAACCAAGAACAATTTGCAGTGTTCTACTTTCAACCCAAAGCCTTATTCTCAGAACATCCCAGTGGGTTCAACAAGGAGACAAACCTGGAGTACCATGTGGTCTCTGAGATGAATCTAAAGTTCAGCTTAGAGGTCTCTGTGAAGTTTTTCAGTTTCGAGTTTGACTATCTAAACCAGAGAGACAGAACTGGCAGAGAATGCCAGTTTCATGCTGTGTTATATCAAACGAGCATTTCTGTTGTCTGTCTACTAAGCCAGGAGTACTGGGCCTGCTGAGTTCCAGGCTCCCGGGTCACTCTAGGCACCCACTGAAGATTTTGAGTGTGCCTGATTATCGTGTTGACTTCTTTAGATCCACCCTACTTTTCCCTCCCTACTTCTCTGCCCCAGGAAGTTGACTTATATGGGTTATGTCAATTATTGCTTGCCCTCTGCCTTTGGGATGGCTTAGTTCACCAGGAAACAAACCCTTCAGGCTTGGAGGTAGTAATGGGACCTTGCTTCTTCTAGCCCAAGGGAACTGTTCTATTCCTTTGGGCACTAAGGAAACCTTTATAAATAGTTCCTTTATCAAATTCTTCTGAAATGATCCTATTTTGAACGTGCCATCTGTTTCCTTTTGGGACCTGACCAATTTACTAGATAAGGGAATCTGGGGTTTGCCAGGGGTACAGAACTGCCCAGGGGCCTTCTCTCTCGCTGGGCTCTACTGGATGACTGTGGTTGATCTGGACTTAACTGGCTTCTCCTAGTGCTATTCTTGGTGTGACGGGGTCACCAGCGGCTCATCAAATGAGACACAGGTTGGAGTGAGGAAAGACAGAAATGATACCATACATGACGTGCCTGTCACAGAAATGACTGACTCTAGAAGGCCAGTGATTGTGAGACATTCACAACTCCTAGTCTCTCTGTCAGAATGAGGATAAATCCAGAACTATGAAATTACCAACTGACCATCAGTGAACTGAATCGTCCCCACGTGCAAGGATTTGTCTTCCTGCAGTGCTCTGCTGATCAGCCTTTTGAGGTCTAATGCTGTGAGCAAGGTTTCTGGTTGCTTGTCCTCCGCCATCTTTCCATGAAGGACTCCTTCACTTTCAATTTTGTTGGAATCCAAAGATAGCAGCTCATTTGTGGGACTCTTTGCTTCTGCACTGTCTCTCTTAAAGATGGCCGCAAGTCGCACCTCTATGGAGCTTGAGCTGTGGAAGCAGAGGACACATCACACTCAAGGCCATTGTTACATGCCTTGGAAAGAGAGTCACTACGTTGCCACAAGGCTTCAGGACAGCTTCAACCTCTTTCCTGATAAGCTCTTAAAGAGTATCCCACTTCAAAAGTAATTTCAATGTTTATCAAAAATTTGAAATGTGGAAAAGAATTGACATATGTTTAATTCTGAAATAGAACGTCAGGATGAGAGTTCAGTCCAGTTTAAAGAGGGACTACTAACTGAATCAATGACTAGAGGTGTTCACTTTAGGTCTTTATGAAAAAGTGTTCATTGTCAAGAGTTGCTGTTATTGACCAGTGTTTTTGATGGTCTTATATGTAAAGTCATGCAGAGCCCATCAGCAAGAAGGATGAATTGTCCTTTTTTCTACAAATAGCTTCATTTAAAAAGGTCTGTGAAATAGCAATGTAGGATATGGCAGTGGGACAATCGTATGTCCATGTTGTAAAAAAATCAAAGCTTCAGTCCTTAAGGATATTTCTCTTCTACTTTTTGTGAAGAGTATTTTTAGATTAAAAAAATAAAACCCTAAGTTATATATAGCAATCTTTTACCTACCCAAGCTGCTTTAAAAATAACATCTTAGAAGGAAGGTATGAAAAAGGAGAAAGGGAAGTAGCATATGATTAACTATACTCATTATCATATTTATTATCATATTTATTGATTTAATGCCTTTTTGCATGTAAAAATAGAATAGAATTCTCCGTAGCTCTATCCTCTAGGGTCAGGTTTTACCTTCTAGTTTAGACCATTAAATGCACACAGAGAGATGCAAAGTGTTTTAAAGGCCACAGGAACTGATAATGCGTAGCCTTGGCAGTCCTCTGGGCCGCACAATCAGAGGCTATAGTTCATTATTTCACTAGTCAATTATAGGAGCCAAAGCTGCATTCTTATTACTGAGCTTTCTAAGGTACAGTGGGCCTCTTTCCAATTCAAACTGACCTTGAAACCATGGAACAAATTAGTTTCTCTGCTTTAATCCAGACAGGTTGGTTGCATGTATGAGCATGCATTGGGGCAGACAATGTGCCATCAGAAATGATATTTTTGTGAAGCATGCTTGCATCACATACATGTGCCTTTATGTTTTTCTAATTAGATTTTTGAGTTTCATAGATCCTCTTCTACAGATCAGGTCATTGTTTACCTGCTTATCTCAGGGAGTGATTTTGACCTGAGAGTTTTTTTTCCCCCACCACAGTTATTCCCTTTTAAATAAGAAACCATTAAAAAGTCATTGAGTTATCCCAGAATTTATATGTAAAATTTATTTGTAAAAGATCAGCATATACATTTATGGAGGAAAATGTACTATATTTCAAAACATTAAAAGATAAGTCCAAATTACCCATCTCCTTCTTTCTTTGGTCTTCATTTCATCAAGCACAATGATAGCATGCAAAGAAGAAAGAATTTTTATGAAATTCATTGAGACACTCAATGTATCATTTCATACACACACACAAAAATTCTTTCTATTATCTTCCATATTTGCCCAAAGCTTCGAAGAAAACATAAACTGTCATCAGAATTTGGATAGAAAATTTGAGAACCATATAAGTCTCAGAAAGTAAACATCATCATACGATGTTTCTGATTAGGATTTGAACTTTATTTATTTTTATTAAATTTATTGGGTTGACATTAGTTAATAGGATCATATAGGTTTCAGGTGTGGGTTTCTATGTTACAAGATCAATATATTGCACTGTGTGCCCACCACCCAAAATCAAATCATCTTCCATCACCATATACTGGGCCCCCCTTACCCCCCGCCCCTCCACTCCCTTCCCTTTGGCAACTACTACGTTGCTATTTGTGTCCACGAGTTTCAGTTTTATATCCCACGTATGAGTGAAATTATTTGGTTCTTAGCTTTTTCTGCCTGACTTATTTCAAATATTATTTGTACTTTTGGTCTTAAACTCTGAGTTCCTCAAATTCCTCCTAAAGTGACTGCAAATATATCCTATACATCTTACATTTTGGGTGGTGCTGGTGCCAGAAAGTTTTTTAAACGTATTTTATAAATAAATCTCTCCCCCCTGTAATCACATTAAATGATAAATTTAATTCTGAAGGTAATTTATCTGAGGCTAGACCCTGGAACTAATGTTTTGTTGACTGTTTTTTGAAGTGCTGCAATCAGTAAGCCTCGAGGGAATGGTACAATTCACCACAGATGGGTTGGAAGGAAAACAAACACCTGTTAGCTGAGTGGGTGGTCTGCATAGGGAAGTCCACATGCATCCTCATTTAATCTCTTCAACAACACAACCAATCCCCATTTCACAGACAACAGAGCCCCCAGAGAGAGGGAAAGCTGTGGTTGGAAAGTGGCAGAGGCAGGATTCAAACCCTGGCCTGCCTGACCTCAAGCCTGGGTTCATTTTGCCACACCACCACCTGCTCATGCCTGAAAAAAGTCATTTAGTCACCAAATTGACAAATACATTTGGACTCCTCTGAGTATATATATGAAATTAATTTAGAAGCTATATTCATGTTTTTTCATTGCAAATTAGAGTTGTCAACAAAGACACTCTACGCATGGGATGGGGTTTCATGTGCTTTCATCTGACTTTCCTCCCTGATGTAACAGGACTGAATGGACTCTGCTACTGCTCTTCTTCTGTGAACACAAGGGACTTTCTTTCGTACTAACTAGACATCCATCCAGGGGTGGCTTCTTGCTTGCTTGCTTGCATCTTTCACTTAATTATTTTCAGGCAAATCTCTGTTGCGTATTCCAAGAGTTCCTTTGCTGAGCAGTAGTCTATGGTAAGAATATGACAATTTGTTTCTTTATTGCCCTCTTGAAGGACATTTTGGTTGTTTCCATGATGCTCCTGAGAGAGGCCTGGCTTCCTGGACTAAGACCCTAGCTGTGGTACATTTACACAATGGAATACCATGTGGCTTTAAACAAGAAGGATCTCGTACCCTTTGAGACAATGTGGAGGGACCTGGAGAGTATTACGCTAAGTGAAATAAGCCAGTCAGAGAAAGACAAGTATCACATGATCTCACTTATATCTGTAATCTAATATACAAAATAAACTGAAAAACAAAATAGATCCAGAGACAGGGAAGCATGGACCAGACTGATGAATCTCGGGGGAGGTGGGAGGGGACTGGGAAGATTTTAACCATAGAATTTATATGCTTATATGCATGACCAATGGACACAGACAACAGTGTGGTGAAGGCCTGGGTGGTGGGGGAGCTCTGTGGAGGAAGGGAAAAAGGAGGGATATCTGTAATACTTTCAACAAAAAAAGATAGATTTAAAAAATGAAAGTATATAATTTAGTAGGATTTACACTACTATACACCAGTGAAACAATTATGGCAATCAAGAGAGTGAGCACATTTCATCACCCAAAGGTTTACTCCTACCTTATGTAATTCTTCCCTCCCATCCCTCTCTGCGTCTGCCCCCCCCCCCCATGCAACTACGCGTTTGTTTTCTGTCACTATAGATGAGTTTGCATTTTTTAGAGTTAAATATAAGTAGAATTATAATGTATTCCCTTTTGTCTGGCATCTTTCACTTAATTATTTTGAGGCAAATCTCTGTTGCTTATTCCAAGAGTTCCTTTGCTGAGCAGTAGTCTATGGTAAGAATATGTCACAATTTGTTTCTTTATTGCCCTCTTGAAGGACATTTTGGTTGTTTCCAGTTCTTGGCTATTACAAGTAAAGCTGCTAGGGACATTTGTGTATAAGTCTTCGAAGAAGTATACCCTCCAACTAGACTGAGTGGTTGTTAATAGTTTTCCATGTATGCTTTAAGAGATACAGCAATATTTAAAGTGAATCTTCCACTGTTCATCCTTATGATTGTGTTAATAATAGACGTCCCAACTATTTCCCAGTTGGATTGAGAGAATCAAATGAGGTCACTGATATAAAAGTACTTATTAGATTGTAGATCAGGTTTTATCCAAATAAGCTGAAATGAAGACAGAACCAGGAGACACATAGGGTTTTACGTCTTTTTGTGGGGATCTGGCTCCATGAGAAAGCGATTTCCTTCATAATGAGCTTACTTTACAATATTCTGAGCATCGTTATGAATGATTAAAAGTTTGTGATACTCGTAGCATATCATTTATTGTATTTGGGTCAATGTTTCTTTGGGAGACTAACTCTTCATTACATAAGAGAAACCACTGGGAAAAAGTGATCAGATTTACTTTATAAACATTTTTGGCAAAAATAAGAATATATTCTTGCAGAGATAAACACATGGGAGAGATGCGGCTTCAAGGGATATTTCTTTAAAAGTTTTACCTTGAAAAATGTAATCAACCTAACATTTTGGTTTTCTTCTGAAAGAGATTTTTAAATTATAGTTTTCCATTTATTTGGAAGGAGGAAATAATAAGCAGTTGAACATTCACCCCCTCAACAGCCCCCCCCCCCCAAAAAAAAACATTCTTATCATTTCCTTCAGCTTTAAGTTAAAAATGTGTTCTTTAACTGCAGTGGTTTATCCAGAAGACCATCTATGCAGAATATTCTCCTTTCACCCTTTATTTCTCCCTAATCCATCTGATTTCACATGGAATGCTGCGGGGCAGCATGTTGAAATAAAGAAAAATGAGTCTGCTTTGGAAAATATGAAGGGTTTCATCTTTTATCACTTTCACTTTTCAGTGTTTCCTTCCTCCGGGATTATCCAGATCGGAGGGACCTGACAGCTTCGACAGGAATAAACTGGTGGCGTCCCCCTGAGAGTTTTCTCCCTGAGTGTGTGCAGTGGGCTCTGGGCACCGTTTTGCTTTAAGACAACAGACAGTGAAGGAGCCATGAGGCCTGGGTGACTCCTGCTTTGCCCACTGGGCCAGCCCCCGTGGGGCGTGGAATCTCAGTCTGTCACACCAGGGCTGATGTTGACACTGTGGAACATTAAAAAAAAATCACATGAAAACATATTATGACCCCACTTGTAGATGTTTTGAATCATGAGAACTTGAAAGATGCAAAAATTCTTGCCAAAAATTAAGAACCCACATTCGAATGTTAAGATGCAGATGGAGGTAGACCTGCCAAGGGAACACGCTCGAACCCTGCTGCCGTGCATCTCTATTGGATTATTTCGTTTAAAATTTCCATTCAATAATTTTTATAATGATTACTATGGTTCAGACATCCAAATAGCAAAATCTTTTGAGAAGCCTTGCTTCCCCCCCCTGTCTCCGTCCACCCCTTTCCTCCAGCCCCCCTACCCTGGAGGGCAGGACCACTGTTTATTCGTTGCACCTGGCTCCCTAGGGTCAGCTGGATTTGTTTAAGCAATGATGGTATTTAGGCACTCAGACACCAAGGTAAGCAATTGCTAATTTTTTTGATTTGTCTTTACTGAGGAATTTTCCAAGAGGTTTGTTAATAGCATTGCAAGGACAGCAGATGAGGCTCTCTGAAAGGGCAGCCTCTGACTCCAGAGGGGGGAAGGGACACAGCTTTTCTGTTACCCCTTAAACAATCACCCAGGTCATGTGCTGATTAGACAATTCCCTTGTCGGAAATGTGTTCAGTGTTTGGGATCTGGCAGAGCTAAACAACTGGGGAAAAGGAGACTTTATAATCCTCATGATATCACGTTCAAAAGAATATAGGAAGGACATAATTTAAAAATTGAGAAGAGTCCAATTCTCTTACTTACCTAAAGCCTAACACATGAATTTCTTTGAATCCTGGAAGTTTTTTAAATACCTTTTGCAACTGTAGAGAGAGAGAGAAAAAATTATGAAACACTCTTTGGTTCTACTGGATAAGATCTTATCTAACTGAAAGAGGCTAAATACTTTTGATGAGTTGGGGGCGGGTTGGGGGAGGGGAGAGAAAATTGATGCAATGATTGAAGCCAGATTTATTCTTAGCTCTTTCTGAAACCCAGAGGAAAGTGTTTTGCTATTTATTTAAAAGCTGGAAAGCTGTAATTGGGGAGTTCTGATTTGCTTTAATGGCTACTATATATAAAATGTGAAATAACTTTAAGGTGGTACTTGGAAGAAATGTTTTTGACTCCAGTATTTTTATTTACACACAGAGAGTAGCTGCAATACTTTCTGAACTGAATGACACGATTTGGAAATATCTATAGTGTTAAAGGTACTGTTAAAGTCAAAATGGCTGTCGTGCCTAAATTAAGTGTTAGAAGCAGATTACATGTGAACTTCACAGGAAATTTCCTTACTTAATTTGACCTTGCTAATGAGGCATATTATCAGAATGTTTCACATTTGTTATACTCAATTGCTTCCCACCACTATGCCTGGCTTCCGCCCCTGGGTTCCCCTGGGGGAAGGGTGCTCTCCAGGACATGTCTCTTGGCTCTCTCCAAATCCAAAGGCATTTCCATTTCTTTCTCCATGGCTTCCCTGCCTTTATTCTGGCTCTTCCTCCATCTCTCTGGCCACTCCCCCCCATCTCTGTCCTGTTCCTGTGTTCCCTGTCCACTCCCGCTGCAAGGATCCTGCAGTTTGTGTCCTCAGCCTCCGCATCTCACTTACGCTCCCATCTGCTCAGTAGGATCGACTACAGGCTCTGCCTGGCTCTCGGGACACATGGCCACACAGGTGGACCGGCGCTGCCCCCAGCTCACTCCTATGAAGCCTGGGAGGCAGAACCAAGAGGAAGAGACGGTCGTTTGGCAGAGGAGTGTGGGAGGGAGCAGGGTGAAGGTGAGGGAGGCTGAATAGGTGCCTGGGGCCCTGATCTCTCTTCCCTGTGCCCACTTCCCTCTGCTCCTCACTGGGGATCTTGTTTCCTCCCTTGGCTTTAACGATCCCCTGAGCACAGCTTTGAGTTCTCCACACGAACACCCGGACATCTGCAGCTAATTACATATGTCGGCCTTTCCTCCTGGGCTCTCCGTCTCCGTTCAGGTTACGGACACCGTCACCTCCATACCAGAGAGCTCAGCATCCCCAGTACCTTCCCTTTGGGCCCCTCACGTCCAGTCACCACGTCTGTTCGTTTGAATCCCACATGCCCTTTGTTTCCATCATCTTCTTCCTATTCCCATGGCCAGCTCACCCTCCTGTCTTCCTTCCTGTATTACTGAAATGGTTTTCTAGGTGTGTGGGAAGAAGAGAAGATAACTTTTTTTTGGGATGAGTTGGGGTGAAGGGAAGTGGGGAGATGTCTCTTTGACTACACTATTTTCCCAAGTGAATCATTCCGTCCGCATCTGTAGCTCTTCACTAAAGCCCTTGGTGGGCTGCCCTGCCCACTGAATGAGGCCCAGTACTTTAGAAATGCATTTAGGACCCTGTGCAATCTACCCTCTCCACTCCCCAAGTAGCTTATCATTTACACTTCCTGACATTTACCCCCTTGGCCAATATTCTCTCCTCAAGTCACATTACACTAACCACCGTCTCTCCCAAATACAGCATGTACTTCTTCCAGATGTCTATACTTTTTTTTCTCTTTAGTCCAAGATGCAACTTCCTCTTCCTTCTCTGCTCATTGACTATCCCTCTCCCCGTTCATCTTTCAAAGCCAGCTCCAACATCTTCTCTATTGAAAAGTGCTATTTGTGGGGCCCTAAAGTCAGGTTCAATTACTCTTCTCCCTGCCACACTAGAACATACTACTGTATGTTCCATAAAACAGTGTGTGGGGCGCATGTGTCTCCGTCACAGAGACGATCCTCCTTGGGCTCAGGGATCATGTTTTCCTTATTCATCTTTATCTCCCTCCTTCCCAGTACCTGGCCGATTGGCATGCACATAGTAGGGACTCGGCACGTTTTGTTTAATCATGGCGAGTGCATCTCTTCTCTGAACTCATCAAAATGCCACCGCATTGTCACTGTATCTAAAATTACTCCACATTATCTCTGCCAAGGACTTGAGCATGACAGATAATCCCCAAATCTCTTACATTGGGCTTTGGAGTGTACCACGGATTTTTTTCTCAGCAGACTGATTTACCTTCTAAATTATATTTTCTTGCACCAATTTTAAAATGGTTTTTGTTCCCTGAGTGTACAGTACCTACAGTGACGAAGGTGACTCAGCTTTTGGGTGATAAGGAGATAGATGTATAAGCTTGAGTTTACATATTGGTTCTGCTAGGAGAAACATCTGTAACATAAATAAATAAATTAAAAAAAATTGGTTCTGCTACTTTCTAGTTGTATGACCTTGAGTTTATTACTTAATTTATCTGAATCTGGGTCTCCTTAACCAAAATGAGGTAATAACACCCACATCATAAAGTTGCTGTAAGGAATAATAAGTACCCGACACACAGGGGCGGGGAGGCAGCTGTATCGGTGTGTTTGTTTACTATTCTCTCTCCTGCTGGATTACTAGCTCCTGGACAGACTCATTTTATTCTACCTCTTTAATGGTCATGCAGCACGGAGCCTAGCACGGGCAGAGCAAGCCTTCGGTCAGTTGTTCTAGAAAGACTCAAGGTGGGGAAGGACAGGGTGAGGCTCCCCCAGGGTCAGGGCAGGGGGCCGGGAATGTTTCTGGGCCCTCACTCCTGGCCCACATGAGCAAGCTGGGGGCCGAGGCTCTGAAGAGCTGGCAGGTGGGAGGGAGATGTGTCCGGGCTTCAGGTCTGCTCCGGCCTCCGGTGACAAATAGCTTTGGGCCACAAGGCATCTGTCAGGCCCTCCAGTTACAGCACCTAGGACTGAATGTTTAGGAATGAGCTACAGTTTCTGGAGCAGAAGATTCAGACCCTGACTTGTCTTTCTTTCTTGTCCAGGACACCAGGGATGCTGTTATATAGGTGAAAACAATCAGTCAAGTGCAGACACTCCCAAGAAGCCTGGGGCGATTGGCATCGGCAGTCGGTGTGGTTTGGGTGGTCGCTGGGGAGAGCTGTCCTCCGCTCCAGCAGTGCTGGGGCAGCGGCTCCCGTGGAGGGGATTTATTGCTTGTGTCTCTGTCCTCTTTATGAACCTGTCTGTGATGGATTAGGAACCAGCTCTGCTTAGGAGGGGACACAAGGTGTCTAGGGAGGAGATGACAAAGGCCTTCAGTTAATTCTGCTAAATAATCTTCTGGGAACCTTCCAGTCATGGAGCACTAACCAATAAATTGCTAATTAAGTGTCCAGTTAACCTCATTAATAACACTAAATGCACAGGGGCCTCCCTGATTCTGCTGGAATGTACGTTAACGGGGTTATAAAGAGGCAGCTGTGTTGAGTTCTCTGGAATGTTTGCGCAGGAGAAAGCATTCAGACAAAAACGAAGCGTTCCTTTTGACATCTATATTAAATTGCTCATTAAGTTTATTGTGGAAATTAAATGACTGCAAAGCACTGTCCATTAATTCCCGATTAGGTCCAAATGACTGTGCTAATGCAAGTGTAGGGCTGTGGTGGGGCTGGCTGGTTATCTGATGGCAGGCTTCGAGGTGTGCCTCGGGGGGTGGGGGCGTGGGGCAGATGCTCTAAGCAGAGGGGTCCATCGAACAGAAGCCAGAGACCATGCAATGGAAGCAGCAGGCCCGATGTGATCGGTCTCTGCAAAAAGACCAAGCCAGACACACTCTTCTTTGACTAATAAACATTTCAGAGGCTAGAAGGGGCATGTTCATTTGTTAATAATACAAAATCCTTTCCCCATAAATATGTGTATTTGGGAAAATAGGAATTGGAGCAGAGTGCTGAGAGCAGGGTTTCTGCCAGGATGTCTGGGTGCGACTCGGCTCTGCCAATTCATGGGTGTGACATTGTTGGGCGTGTTCATTAATCTCTCGTGCCTCAGTATTCTCATTTGTAACAAATAGAAGTAATATTACTTAACTTATAGGACTGTGTGAAAATGAAACAAGTTACTACATATAAAACATTAAGAACAAACAGTTGGTATTATTTCTCGACATAGTGTTTTAGACTTGGAAAGGGACTTTGAGGTCATTTTTAATTTCTAAATGAGGACTCTAACGTCAGGGAAGTGAGCCCCAAATTCTTGCGGCTATTTATTGGCAGAAACAAGACTATGATTAAGATTTCTATCTTTTTGCTTTTTTAATTCTCACCAGAGGATGTTTTTACTGAATTTTTTTATAGAGAGAAAGGGTGAGAGAGGTTGGGAGAGAGAGAGAGAGAGAGAGAGAGAGAGAGAGAGAAACATCAATGTGAGAGAGAAACATTGATCGGTTGCCTTCCATATGCACCCAGACTGGGGATTGAACCCACAACCCAGGTATGTGCCCAGACTGTGAATTGAACCTGCAACCTTTTGGTGTTATGGATGACACTCCAACCAACTGAGCCACCAGGCCAGGGCAAGACTACAACTGAGATTAAAAAAAAAAAATTATAATGTAATTGCATTATTTTATATCAGGTAATTTTTGGTGCTTAGAAAATTAACAGGTAAATGAAGGCAGTGTGTGGCCAGTTATCCAATTCTGACAACATTCTGACTAGGCTAAGGATGTGCTAAAGACAATATTTCAAAGAACAAGTAGAAAAGCTAGCAGACTATTTAAAAATGCCTTCTATTCAATAACCCATGTCTAAGTACTTTTCTGTTTTGTAAATACCCCATGCTGATGCTTTCTCTTTGAAGTTTGTAGAAATTATTTCTTATATTTTATTGACTATTCTGATGCAGGGAGAGGATGGAGGTTAAGAATGTTTTTCTCTTCCTCGCCTCCATTTGAGAGGAAGCAAGCACAGAAGTATGAGAAGTTAGGGGCCCGTTTGCTCCCTGGCCTTGCTGAATAAGATGCTTGGGCTGTCCCCAGTGTGGTTCATAGTAATGTAATCTCATGGGTGCTTCTATTTTATTTTATTTTTTCTTTATTGGTTTTAGAGAGAAAGAGGAAGGGAGAAGGGAAGAGAGAGAGAGAAACATTGATGAGCGAGAACATCCACGTGCTGCCTCCTGCACGTCCCCCACTGGGGATTGGGCTCACAACCTGGGCATGTGTCCTGACTGGGAATCGAACTGGTGACCTCTTGGTGCATGGGTCGACGCCCAGCCACTGAGCCACACTGGCTGGGTGGTGCCTCTATTTTCAGTTGCATTTCTACGAACAAGTACTGAGTAGTAACTGCATCCCAAGCTCTGTATTAGGAGGTACGGCTTCCGAGACGAAAGAAACAGTTGCTGCCCTCAAGGGGAAGCTCATAGCCGGGTGATAGTGAGGGTGGTGGGTGGACAAGGAGACAAGAATGGAGACAGCGAAGTCCATAGACATGTAAACAATCCTAAGACAGAGTAACAGTGTTGTGACAGCAGAGGACACCAGGTTTTAGCCCAGAGGAGAGGTCCTGAGCCCAGAATGGGTAGAGAATTTTTCATGACATTTATAAAGTGAATCCAGGGAAGGCCATTCCAGACAGAGGAGGCATTACAGGGGAAGACCAATGGCGAGAAAAGATGTGCTAGCTGTTTGTGCTGCTGGCAAATAGAGCGCAACGGAGCGGGATGGTAAGGAACTGGTGTTATGATGAGGCTGGACAGAAAGGCAGGGTCTTATCATGGCATATAGATGCCTCGTTCAGCATAGTTTAGATTTATTCTGTAAGGAATGAAGAGCCTTTTAATTTAATCAGGGAGAGGCAGATAGGATGATGGTTAGAGATGGAGGAGACACCTTGGGACAGCTCCTAGTTTAGTGCTGGAGGACATGGCAATGTAACTGCCCTCCATGTGTCACCCATGAAGAATGTCATCAGACTGCAAAAATGGAAATGCTATGTAAGACAAAGTACTGTGGATTAAAAATTCATTTTTCACCCCAGCGTGTTCCCTAGCTGGTGTCCCTATGGACATTTTAGACATGTAGAATATCTGCTTAGTGACTTGCAGTTAAATGAGACTTAAAACCTACTACTAGTTCAAGAAAACCTAAATGTAAGTGACTTTTAAGATAGAAAAGCTGGAATGAAAAATTATCCTGGAGATCTACTTTTCCTAACATTTTTGAGTTCTTTGCAGGTTTTGATATATTTTTTTAATGGTTAAAAATGAATGCCTGGTTACAAGAAGTTGGAGCTATCAGCCAAAAGGATTTATTTCCTGCTGGCTCCCAGATTCAGAGTCTGGACTCGGGCTGTGGTCGTGCGGGGTGTGCTCACTCACCTGAAGTTGCGACTTCGCAGCGAGCTCCTGAGCATCCGCGGGCTGCGCGTGGGCCAGCTCCGCCCTGAGCTTCGGGCTTGCCAGAGAGAGGCTCAGCTCCACCCTCCGCTCCGCTGGGCCCTCGGCCACCTCAGCGATTTCTATGTCTCTTTCCTAAGTTAAAAAGTTCTCCTATTAATATAAACCACAAGCAAATGTTAATTTTATATAACACTGCTTTTGTCTCAAGAACTGGATTATGAAGGCGCTAGGGTTTTTAGAACGAAAGTCCTAGTCACTAAAAATGGCCTGCGAATTTCATTGAGAGACAAAGCACCAAAGCTCCAATGAATTTTTGAGAACACTATCCTTCTATGACCGCACTTCATGAAAGCATTTACATACACACATACACACATGCATACTTCATATATATTGCTGGGACATCGCTAGGATCGTGTCACATACTTTATAAATACTCTTTGATGAGGCTTGGATTAGACAAAATAATCTATGGCCACTGAGATATTATTTAACATAATCATGTTTAGAGAAGAGTCTAGACTACTTTCATGAGACCATTTGTGCTTAAATTTCACACTGAAACTAGTTAGAAAGCACTGGTAAGTCAAGAGAGGGTCTGGAACTTCTCTCAGAGGGAATGGCAGATGTGGGCCACCTTCGGAAGCATGTGACTAGGAAGTGCAGTGCTATTCTGAGGACCTGGATTGGGACTTCGATAAAAAGGGCCAGGAGTCTTCCTTTGTGTCCTCCGGTTTGAGAACAAGCAGGAAGCAGAGTCTCTCACTGCTCTCAACTCGCGTGGACTCCAGGTGCCAGGTCACCGAGCAAGCCCGGGGCCGTGTTTCAAACTTGGGGTGGGACTGATTTGGGGCCTTGGGGACTCACACGATCCTGAGATCTGCACAGCTCTCTCAAAAGAGTCACAAATATGTCGGTGGAAAATCAACCGTCTCTGATCAAATCAGATGTCTCTTATAGTGATATTAGAATTGCGGGAGCCGAGAGAGGAGAACAAGCAATGTAAAATGCCATGAGAGGCAAAACTCATCTGGGTGGCAGCTGTCACCTCACTTCTTATCACAAACTCCCTCTTCCATGGACAAGGGACCAGCAGGACAGCCTCTGATAGGACATGGAGGATGTGGATGTATACTTACCAGGTTCCTGATGTTTGCTAAATGGAAATGTTTTCATTCATTCATTCATTCATTCATTCATTCATTCATTCACTCACCCACTCATTTATTCATTCAAACAATACATACTGAGCATCTGTATGGCTTATAACACAGTGCTAGGACCTATGAGACTTCGAAAGAAAGTAGGATGTGGTATTATCCTCTAGACTAGAAGCTCACCATTTCATTAGGCTGATTTGAAGTTTGCGAGAGACATTTAAATATATTCTTTAAATGTATTAGTGAGAAGTTTTGTAACATATCCTCATTCACTGGATTTATTTTTTATGCCTTTCACCCAGCACCCTCAGTGATTCCCTAATTACCTATATGATAAAACCCAAACTCTTTTTCCAGACAACCGAGACTCCTCCGTCTGTCTCACCGGCTCTACTCACTCTTGCTGAGGCTTCACACTGCTGTGCTCATCTCTGACTGAAGACCCTCCTCACTGCTCCCCGGGCCCTCCAGCAACAGCACGTGCACACGCACACACACACACACACACTAACATATGCACACACCCTTCATACACACATCCTTTTTTAAAACTTCTTACCAATATCTCATGGTCCATTGAAAGAAATATCTCCTCTGACCATCGAGGGTAGAAAGCTTTGCCTCTCCTCTGACCTCCTGTAACAGTAAATACTATCTGAATTGCTCATTTGGTACCTGTGATATATTCACCTGGAGTCTTCTTTTTATATGCAAATCTTGTCCCTCCACATATAATCTCATTGAATTCAACATGATTCTCACACTTCATGGATTCTCCCAAATAAAAAAACAAACAAACAGGAGGCCATTTACATACACAACTCTCAGTAAATATACATGACTCGGGGTCATGTCCTTTGCCATCTGTCCCAGCCTTTCATTTGTCCCAGTGTATCTGCTATCTTCAATCACAGCATTTAGACTGTTTTGTTGTACTTATTTGCATTATAAATTTCTTAAAGGTAGGAACTGTGTCTTGTTCATCTAAGATCTTGCAGCGAATTTTAGTTAAATGTTTGCTGAATAAAGACTAAGTAATAGGTGCGGTTGGTAAGAAGGATGTTAAGAGGAGGATGCGATGAATGTGAAATAAAATATTCAGGAGATATTTACTGTGGGATGAGAGACATATTAAATTTTAAAGAAGATGGGACATAGGCAATGCAAGAAGAGAAGGCAAGCTGTAGTCTTATAAATTTTATAGTGAATATGTTTATCTCAATATATATTTTTCAGTAGCACGTTTCACTGTTGATGGAATAGTATTTCTGAGAAAAATAAAATCTTTTTTCTTTGTTCATAACCACAGTCCCACCAAATCTGGGGCCACCTGGCCTAAAGGGTTCTCATCCCTGAATTTTAAGTAGAGCTGGTGAGGCTGAACTTCCTGTCCTCTCCATCTGGAAGGAGACAGGGCTGGACAGGTCCGGCAGACCACACGCCAGTCTGAGGGTGAGAGGACCAGCTGCCCACCTGTGCCGCCTCCACGCCACCGCTCACGGGGTAGGGAGACTGTTTCTTGCTTCAGCCCTGAGTGTCTGGCTCAAAGCTTTTTGGGGGGTAAACAATGCCCCCCCTTTTGATAACCAGCATGAAATCCCATAACAATTCTCATCCTGTGTGCCTTTCACTCAGCTGAGCACTGCCAGTGCTCCTCTTTACCTGTGAACCCCGTGTTCATTTTCCCATCTGACATGCAGGATTTCGATCATTTTGATGTTTATCTGAATTATTCATGCTGGATATGACTAAGAACAAAACTTCTACCCTTGTTGTCAGCATGAGATCACACTTCAGTGGAGAAAGAACCTAACTGATTGATAGATTCATTCATTTGTCCATCCATCCATCCATCCATATATCCATTCATCCATCCATCCATCCATCCATCCATCCATCCATCCATATCCATCCATCCATCCATCCATCCATCCATCCATCCATCCATCCATCCATATATCCATCCATCCATCCATCCATCCATCCATCCATCCATCCATGCATCCATCCATATCCATTCATCCATCCATCCATCCATCCATCCATCCATCCATCCATCCATCCATATATCCATCCATCCATCCATCCATCCATCCATCCATCCATCCATCCATATATCCATTCATCCATCCATCCATCCATCCATCCATCCATCCATCCATATATCCATCCATCCATCCATCCATCCATCCATCCATCCATCCATCCATCCATATATCCATCCATCCATCCATCCATCCATCCATCCATCCATCCATCCATATATCCATCCATCCATCCATCCATCCATCCATCCATCCATCCATCCATCCATATATCTATCCATCCATCCATCCATCCATCCATCCATCCATCCATATATCCATCCATCCATCCATCCATCCATCCATCCATCCATCCATCCATATATCCATCCATCCATCCATCCATCCATCCATCCATCCATCCATCCATCCATGCTAGAGCTTTGTGAGCACCTACTATATATAAAGCTCTGTTAGGTATCTGGGAAAAGAGCCCTGGCCCCCCCTGGAGTTTATAATAAGGTTGCTTCTTGCACTCTCTCCCACCTTACCCCTAGTTTTCAATCTAGTTTGCCTGTCAGCCCCTAGGAAGAAGTGAGTATACTGAATAGAACAAAGTCACTGACTCTTCATTAAAACTAAAAAGGCAGCACTAATATTAAATGGCCGGCGTCCATCTATTCTCTTGTTCTATTTTACTAATAAAACAAAAAAGGCACGTGAAGAGCTGGATTGACTCTCAGAACTTCTTACTATTGTAGGCGTCGTGGTGTCACTGAGGAGTGTGTCCTTAGGAGTGAGAGGGAGGGTCCCGAGCGAGGCTTCGGCACCATCTGTGGAAATTTTAAAAATAACTGGCATGAAAATGAGACTAGAGGAGTTTACATTAAAACAAAGTCAAAATTTCACCTGTTTTTTCTGTCATTCTGTAATTTAAAGATGTTAGATGCACTCTGAGCTCATTTTTATTTTAAGATCAAATAAATATGTTTTTAAGCAAAATATAACCCAAGTTCAGTCCTGTCTTAGATATGTCTCAATTAAATGGTTCTACCTAATGAGATCTGGTTAATTTTTCTTTTGGTGACTATATAAAGGACACATGCATAGACATATTTATCCTGAATTTGTTTGTTTGAAGATATTGGTAATGATTGCCTCCAAGTTGTACGGTAATGGGCAATTTGGTTTTATTTTTATTCTTTTCTAGATTTACTAAGTTTTATACAATAAATTTAAATTATCTTATAAGGTAAGAAATACAAATTAGTTTTGAGAAAGTACACTATAAATTTTGTCAACTTCAATTAAAGATTGCGTTTTCAATAACAGGCTTTCCTGCTGATTTGAATTAAGGTTCAGAAGCAGACACAATGAAATCCAAGCTTACCTGGTGAAAACACAGGGGTTTCACCACGCTCTCCTAATATCTCCTCTGTGGATATTTCATCTTTTCTATTAGCAAAATAGAAAAGAAAGAAGTGGTGAAAAGGACCTTGATGACAATAGGGGAAATGCTCTTAAATTTGCCTATATTAAATAAACCTAAAGAGTAAAACTTAGAGAAAAATTATACTTTAAAATTGGTTTACCTATTTTTTTCATCATAGCAGTAATCTTTTAATATATTTTCATTGAGGAAAAATTCAATCTCCCCTCCCCCAATGGTTTTGTTTGCCACCAGGGCTTTTCATAACCATCTTGGCTTTCTGTGGTCCTAGGGAACTTTTCCCTAGTAGAAAAATGGTTCTGAGGCCTGATGTTTTATAGTCCCTTGTGCTTAAACTGTGCCCTTGACATCAAAGATAATCGATGACTTGATCCATGGCTGAAATATTCTTGCTAAAATCTCAGACCGTTGTCCGGCTGGTGTGGCTCAGTGGTTGAGCATTAACCCTTGCACCAGGAGGTCGCTAGTTTATTACTGGTCAGGGCACATGCCCAGATTGTGGGCCAAATCCCCAATAGGGGGCATGTAGTAGGCGGCCAATCGATGTTCTCGCTCATCGATGTTTCTATCTCTCTCTGCCTCTCCCTTCCTCTCTCTCTAAAATCAATAAATAAAATAAAATCTCAGACCCTCAAATTTGCAAATCCAGGGAGTCATTAAGTTTATTTAATATAGTAACTTGTGGTTATAGTAATGGGGGAGAGAGATATTTCTGGAGAATGATGTTCTATTCTGAACATAACCATTGCCTGCAGTGGTAACCAGCCAAGAAGTGTGGGTAGGTTCACAGTGCCATGGAGTGTCAATGTGGAATATATTCTAAGGGTAGATCCAAGGTCATGGTGATAGAGTTGTCTGCATATAATATTGGCCCATTCTAGCAACCTTTGTTTAGAAAGGAATAGTAGTGAGAGCTTTTGAAGCTCACTATAAGATTTGTTACTATAAGCGATTAGGTCTCAAAGGACTGTGTCTGTGTTTGTATAATATAGTCATAGTTGACCAATATATTTGATCCAATTTTCTGTGGCTCTTGATGGTGGAAGACAGAAGGGGATAGCTAGATACTCTGCTGTTGTAGATTCACATAGATTTGCCATAGCCAACGGGACATATTTCTACCACATTCATTTCTGCCAAAGTGCTAATAGGGGTAATGTACAAAATATATCCCTCAGCCTGGCATGGGCTTGGACTGATCAGAATGGATGTCAGTTGTAAACACGGGTGACGGTATTGGTGCACATAGGCTAAATTAAACCAGACTTTATGGTGGAATTGGAATTAGTGATTCTTGTTTGTTTTTGCTGGTATTATGCCATATGTTTAATAGTTTTTATGGAGGTAATATTTAGTAAACTCTCATTATATCAATATTATAGCATTTGGAATTTAGACAATTTTCTTTTTTTATTTTATAGATCTTTGTTTAGAGTACGGTCTCCTTTCTCCTGTTGTAACTGTGGTCTCCTTGTTTCACCTTGTTGTAAAAGGGAAAATAACCAAGAAGAATAGTTACTAAAGCTCCAGCTAACAGTCGGCAGCCTATTTGGTGCAGGCGCGGTTCTGCCGCTACCCGGCGGCCTAGACCGCACCGCGGAGCACAAGTGGGAAGCCAGGGGGCTGGGGTCTTCCACTGGCTTTTATTTTAAAGTCATTTGAAACTGGCAGATTGATGGGCAAGTCAGGTGAGAAATTTTTCTGTTTTGTCTTCTTGGAAAGGTTGAAAGTAAAAGGGTTTCTTTCTTTCCTTTCCTTTTCTTATTTAAAAACAACTTGGTAACCATAGATAATGTAGAATGTTTGTCTTTTGTTCCCTCCTCCTCCCTGCAATGCTCCAGGCACAGGGTAGATGGAATGATTCTCTTTCTCTTTCTCACTTGAATAATTGTTTCCTATAATCTTCAATGTTTTTCTATCAAGTCCTGGTACATTCTGTTGAATATATTTTTCTTATGAATGGCCTCTGCTTTCTTTTTCATTTTCTTTTTGGAAAATGTAGGCGTCATTAAGTATTACCCTATATATATTATTATTTTTGAAATTTTGTTTCCTTTATTGATTTTTAGAGAGAGAGGAAGTGAAAGGGAGAGAGAGAGAAACATCGATGAGAGAGAACTTTGATTGGCCACCTCCCACATGCCCCCCACTGGGGGTCAGGCCCACAACCTGGGCATGTGCCCTGACCAGGGATTGAACCGACGACCTCTTGATGCATGGGTCAAAGCTCAACCATTAAGCCACACCAGCCGGACAGTATTACCCTATATTTAAACCAGGGGAGCCAATATCTCTGTGTCTTGTGAACAAAGTTAATACTCTATCTAGTACTAATATTTTCCTAAGTCACCTTATTTCTTTTGGCAATAACTTTTAAAAATTCATAAAAGTGTAGCAAGATAGACATATTGAGGATCATTATATATTATATATATTATATAGCAGTTGGTAGAGAAATATAAAATAGTCCTGCCCTGGAGGTGTTTATATTTTCACAGGGAAACAGGGTAAAGGAAGGAGATGTTAAATAAAAAGGTAAGTGGCAAATAGAACACAAAATTCCAAGCAGGGAGAGATCACTGCAGATTCAAATAGGCGGTGAAGACATCATGGGGAGGTGGACTGTACTTGGGACTTGGAAGGAGAATAGGATTTGGAGAGATGGAGGGGGGAAGGCAGGTTCTTCCAGTCAAGATAAAAAGGCTTGGGTCAGAGTCTGGTGTGAGGAGGGTGTGGTCTGCGTGCCCGGAGGATGTGACTTGGTGGCAGCAGCGGGGTCATGGGTAATGAAGGGCAGAGCTGGAAAGTCAGGGGCTGAAGGGCCTTGATGAGTTACTTTGGACTTTGCCTCAGTGAAGGTCTGGGCAGGAAACAGGGGGTTCAGTTGCACTGTAATCTGTCAGCTACATGTGAGGAAACTTTTGATCAGTGTTTTAAGAACTGTATTCTCTTCACAAAGACATAATAAAGTTTCATCTTATAGACAGAGTATAGGCAAAACAAAAAAAACAAAAACCAACTAAGTTGTGGGAAGAGTCTAAGAGCAACCATAAGTGAGAGAGCAGAGCCCCAGGGCTAAGAGTGGGTGCTAATAGCACTCTGGCCAGGAGGGGTGAGGGGGTGGGGCAGTTAGCACAAACTAGGGACCAATGACTGTGGAGAGGGCTGCCTGACAGGAACTGAGCTGAGGTTGAAGGAGACCAGCAGCCCTCGAAGACTTGACAAGTGGTAGGTGAGGAAAGGTAATATATTTGCTCACCTCATTCCATTCTCCTTCATCTTTCTGCTATTCTGCAGCCCTACCCAGAATCAGAGGGCCCGACACGCCAGGCATTCAGGCCCTGCTCAGACTTCTGTGCAGAGTGGGTGAGGAAGTTCGGGGAGGGAATATTTAGGGGGGCAAGAGGAAGAGGTGGGTGGGTATCTTTTGAAAGTCATTGTTCAGGGCTCAATGTAAGAAAAGGAATATTTCAGACATATTAGTCATGCAGCAGTTATAAAAGTTAAGGTAGGGAAGAGGTTAGAGCCAACAATATCTGTTAGGGAGATCAGATTTGACATTTTCACAGTGTAAATCATTAAGGTCCGGGGCAGATTGTTGGCAAAGAGAATAGAAATAAAAGGAAAAATGTGAAAAGCATTATACAGAATTGTCAGTAATTCTTACAGCCAAATTCGTGTCTCTCTTTGTAGTATTATTGTCTTCAGATTTAGACTTCTAAATGTTATAAAATGTGTGTAATTTGTGAGGTTACAATTTGGCAATTACATCTCCTTTACTCATGTATCTAATGTACTTTTCTTTTACATTTTGATTTTCTTATTTGATATTCAGTCCTTGTTGAGGATATATCTTAGTGCTTCAGTAATTTAGTTTGAGAAATACTAACACTTCACAGAATGCCAAATAAAAATTCAAAATTCAGGTTTCTTGCTTATTGTATTAAATATTTCCCTGATGTAACTAATAATTTATCATAAACTCTAAAAACTATACTATTTTAATTGCTCCATACCTTATAAGTGAAAATACGCATTAGATACTTATTACAAACTTTTATCTAACAACACAGTACAAACATATATCTCAATCTATAAGGCCTAGCCTTTCCTTTTTATATATTTATTTATGTTTAGCACAATAGAGATATAAACTGTCCGTCATGTGGGAATAACCTACATAAATCTCAGTGGCTGACTCAACATCATAAAGGTACAATACTTGAGTCTCACTCTATTATGTTAGTTTTCAAAAGTCAAGAGCATGCAGCACTCTATTTTGGGCACTTACCTCTCAGGGAAGTTACTCTGTTTTATTCTCTGCAGAAATAGAAAAGTAATTTTACCAAGAGATAATGTCAACTGAAGAGCTAAAGTCTATTTTCTTTCCCTTTTCCCTTTAACTTCACTTCAACCCATATATACAATGTTATTTTGCAAGAATAAAATTCTTGGCCTTATCAGATATTTCCAAATATTTCTTCACCCAACCCTTAAGCCATGGAAACCAAGTCAAAAGGGGCAGGGGCTGGAGGTCTGGGAGCGACTGGGCAGTGTTGCAAACATAGTGTTCCGGCTCACCTGCTGAAGAAGTTCCAGGTGCTCCTGGGAGTTGCTGAAATTTTTCCCAATGTCAAAGAGGCAGAAAGTCTCCTGCTGGCAGCTGCTGACCCAGTCCTGGTATTCCCTGGTGTCAGGGATGCGATCCAGAAAGATTCGATATGCTTCCCACACTGCTTCCTGACACACTGCAATGCAGCACCTTTAGGAGTAGACCCCATCTCCCCACCCACGTTCAGTCTTATGATACGGGAAGCTCCTCCATGGCTTATGCTGCCACACTACTTTATAGCCCAGAGCAATGAGTTCATTTAACACCTATTTACTGAGCATCTCTATGTGCTATGGAGAAAAATAAAAGAAAGAAGACAGGGGATATGAGTGTGCGTGCGCACGTGTGTGTGTAAGACTGCAATTTAAAATAGGGTGGTTGAAGAAAGTCTCCTTATAAAGGTGACTTTTGAGCAGTTTGGCAAAAGGCCCCAAGGCTGGAGAATGCCACGAGCATGGAAGGAACAGCGAGGAGGTCAGTGTGGCCGGAGCAAGGCTGAGAGAAGCAGAGGAGGAAGACAGAAAGATGTGGAGAGAACGCAGTGTATGGGCTGGTAGACCAGTAGTCAAACTGGGCATAGGCTCTGGCTGTATTTGCAGACTTTCCAAGCGATGAACAGGCATACAGTTGAAATGGAATCAATTTCTAGGTCTCAACTTTCCTATCATGCTTTTCCTAATATAATGCAGCTTAAGCTCAAGTCCTTCACTTAAACTGGCCTTGTACTTAATTCTGTATTTATGAACCTCGGTACCCACAAAACCTGTATCTGGTCTTATATCTATCTGTTGATAATGACTTACTTAATTTTTTGTCAAATTTATATCTATTTTTTTAAAATAAATTATATATTAAAAGGAATTAAAAGTGCAACTAAATCTAGAAGACATTTCTTTGTACACATAAAGTAACAGGAGAGAAATAAAAAATATAATTCCAATGAATGCGCATACTGAGGCGTATTTCAGAGCAAAAAATAACAGACTTTCAAGCTGAAAATAAATTCCATTAAGATCAGACTGAAGTGGGAATGGAAATGGGGGTGTGTGGAGGGCAAGGAGCCACGCGACTTCCCTGCTGTCAACGCGAGTTCCTTCCTGTGTTTGTTGACGGTGTTGGAGAGAATTGAGAGGCTGTGGGAGATGCCGCTGGATACGTATGAATGCTCTGATTCTTGTTTAGTTTTCAATATCGATATTTGCAACTCACCAAAAGTTACATCTTATCCAAGTATTTAAACTTAAGACAAAAACTTTAGATGTCAACTGAAAAGCATGCAACGGTGCGGATAAAAATTTTGAATTATTTTAGAGGACTAAGCAAAAACAAAGTTAGATGACTTCTGTTATAAGCAATTATAATACATTGATTTTTTTTTAACCTCTAGAGGAATGGAGAGCAGTTGGAAACCTTGGGGCAGAAGCCAACACCACTGGGTTTTCTAGAGAAACAGTTTGACCGCTGTGCTGAGAAAGGGGTTGTGGGGGGAACAAGGTGAGGAAAGACCAATTTAGAGTCTCTTCCTCCTGAGCTTCATGCCCCCTCGCTCCCATGTATTCTATGTCTGGATTTCCCTATCTTTCTGTTTTAAGAGACAGAAAATTCCAGGCTAACAGAATCTCAGGTTATTTATCAGCAGCAACTTGACCAGAACCCACCAAGCCAGGAGAGGGTGAGTCTCTACCACTTCAAATGTGCATTGAGTTTTCCCACATTCGGGGAAGTCACAGGGTCGGCATACCTGGAGACCAATGTAACAGTCTCTCACCGGAGACCCAAGTTTGTGAACATCTCTCTCTTGTCAGGCATGGATCAGAGAGTTTTAGTGCCTTCCCTGATACCAATCACTATGAAGTCTTTTGATCTTCATCTCCAGTCAAGAGTTTACATACCATGCAAGAAGGAACCAACATTTGTTCAAACTCTGAGTTGTGGGTCCAGTCCAAGCAAACCAGCTGCCCTTGCTGTCTTCTGGCCTACATACTCCACACTCTCTTGGGGGATGTTATTTTGCCCTTTCATCTTTCCCCAGTAGACCTGCTAGTTTAGTCCAAAAACCTACGTAAGTGCCAGATACGCAGCAATACATAAAATAGACTAGCCCCGCCTTTGAGGGTGTTGGCGACACTCTCGAACAAAATCCATGAGTAAGCATCTGGGAGGGCCCTGGCTGGTGTGGCTCAGCAGCTAGAGCATCAGCCCTCAGACTGAAGGGTCGAGAGTTTGATTCCTGGTCAAGGGCATGTACCTGGGTTGCAGGTTCAATCCCAGGTCAGGGTCATGGGGGAAGCAACCAATTATCAATGTGTCTCTCTCACATCAATGTTTCTCTCTCTCTCTCTGTCCTCTCCTCCCTTCCACTCCATCTAAAAAAAATCAATGGAAAGATATTCTTGGTGAGGATTAACAAAAGAACAAACAAAAACAACAACAAAATGAACTTACAAGCATCTGGGAAGACCTAATGTGATAATGCTTGGGTTTCCAGTTCAACACACACTCACCTGTGTTGCTTTTGGTCTCAGGTTGTCTTCCTTTTGTTTCAGTCCCATCTAAGGCTTGTTTTCGGGGCCTGCATCTTCCTAGCTCTGCTCCTTTGCCTCCTGCCCTTTTTCTCTACCTCAGGGACACAGAATGCCCCCGTGCCCATTAAAACCTACTTTTCACTAAGGCTCTGAGAGAACTTTTCCCCCAAAGCATAAATGCCTGAAGCTGCTTGAAGAATTATCTCCTTGGAGCATGGTAGTTTATAGGGATCAAATGTTAAGCTGAAACAGGAACTAGTAGCTTTTCTTTTCTTTTTTTTCCCCTCACCCGAGGACATTTTTCCATTTATTGTTCAGATAGAGTGGGAGGGAGAGAAAGGAAGAGAGAGAGAAATGTCAATGTGAAAGGGACACATCGAGTGGCTGCCTACTGCACCACCCAACCAGGGCCGGGGACAAACTGCAACCGAGGTACGTGCCCTTAGTGAGAACCAAACCTGGGTCCCTAGGAACCGCAGGACGACCCTCTAACCGCTGAGCCAAACCGACCAGGGCACTTTTCTTTAGACTCTTTTTGAGGGGCAGTTTTTTTGGGTGACTCCTCTGATGTCATTTTCTTGGCCTCCTGGAAGCGTAACACAAACCAGGAAGCATAGCACCCTTCTGGGATTGGGAGAACTAGAGCACCATCCCATGACCCATTGGGAAAGTCCCTTGTCCTCACCAAGAGAGCATCAAAAGAACCCTTGAAACTTGAGGACTCAAAGGATCTTGGGGCTTGGAGGAGTCTAAAAACTTCTGAAAGTTGGACAATTCTACTCCCTTGACTTACCTTCTGCACCGTCCTTCTGTGAATCTACTAGGAAGGGTTGCCACAGGGATTTTGGAGGATCCAGAGCCTTTCCTCCCAGTTCTCCCACTGTGGCTGGCCGCTGCCTGAAATTCGACCACAGAGGCTCAGGCTTTCTGCTGAATGTCATACGCTAGGCTGGTTGACGGCGAGGGCAGAACTCCAGGGAACACAGGCCCCGGAGGCCAGACGTGCTCCGGGAGAAGGATTGCATTAAACCACAGGGGTGGGCACACAGTGGATGGAGAGGTAACACACTGAGTCAGGATGCTGGGTTCGAACTGCTCTGTCACTAGCGGTGACCCTGACTGAGCACGTCACCTCACTTTCCTGATCTGTACATTGGGAGTGTTAGCTCGAGGATCTTCAGATCAGTGCTTCTAGAACGTGAAAGTGCAAATGGATTCCCCGGGGAAGTTGTTGCAGAAAGTAGGTCTCGTGTGGGATCCGAGAATCTGCATTTCTGACAAATTACCTGATTGGTGCTGGTGATGCTGCTGGTCTGTGGACAACGCTGGAATAGCAAGAACTAGGATTCGCCCCTACCTTTAACTTTTTCGAAATCACACATTAATGTGAAAGAAAGATCTAGTTTTGATATTGGGGTTGTGAGAAAGAGAGAAATCAAGGAAGTGAGGAGGGAGACAGAGGCAGAGACATGGGGGCACATGTCTTGAAAGGAGGCCGTCACAAAAGAGGGAGTTTGCCTGGGTGTGAGCACAGGGCTCCCCCTGGGACACCAGCAGGAACAGATTTGCCTCTTCGGTGTCTGTGCTTTGGAATGAGCATGTCTGTGAGTCTACCATGAAGCTCAGAACATTTTCACTTGTGTTGCTTTAAGCATTGGGAAAAGAAATAGCTTAATATGCCATTTGATTTGAGGAAGGCAGGTGCTTTCTCCCCTAAATTTAAGAATGTCAGCAGATACTTTTGTAAAAGCAGCTACAAGAACAATAAGTGGGTTGCTCTGTCAAAGAAACCCTGCTTTGTAGCGGGGTCTTATTTCTAGTTTCTTTATGAACTGAATTTGCTAGACTGAAGAAACCCATGTTGATGAATAGTAAAATTTCATATCTCCCAGGGGCAGCCATAAAGATAATGGACTGTCATTGCCGTGGGGAGAAAAGTGGTGGTTTGATTCATTCAGGGAAGCAAGAATGAAAGAGGCAAACCTAATAAAAAATAAAGAGCTAATAATAAAATTCAGAGCTAAAAATTTGGCTGCGGCAATAAACAGTCTTTTCTACAGACACTTGTGATGAGTCCTATTTGTGAATGTCATAAAGAATTAGAAGTTTCATGAAAGAGTTAGCAGTAGTTGTGTTCATAGTCAATGTGATGCATATTCTTTAAGATTATACTTCCATCTTTGGACAAAGAAGATGGAATATCCATGTCATTATCAGATCAATGTGTAGGTACATTCAAAATGAATAATTTGCACATGTCACTGTTTTTCCTTTGCATTCCCAATGGCCTCCTGTGTTCATCAACAACATTGAATGAGAACCAATCATGCAGAGGTGCTGTGCTAGATCTCAGAACATTCACACGGCGCCCTTGGTTTTCTGCAATTAGAGTTCTCCTTCTGACTATGACCTAGTCAGTACCTGTCATTTCTCTGAGGGTGTGGCTTCTGTCAGAAAACAAATACCTCTTTACTTCTACATAGAATGAGACACAGGAGGAAAATCAGGCTTGATCTTTTTGATACTGTTAATTATGCCTCCAAAACCCAATAAGAACTCCTGTGATTAGTTCAAACCTTGCACATATTACAGATGTCAATACTTAAGAACTTCTGGGGATGCTAATATCATGAAATGCTTTTCAGTTGTCATGATGTGTAACACATCACACAGGACTGAACCAGCTTGCTCTAGTCAATGGGCTTGAAACAGATCAGACTGTGCTTTTTGGAATGGAAGTAAACATCTAGTATGATCAGGGTGGAAATCAGAAAACCTCCTCCACTTTCACATGTAAGATGAGTTGAGGTTAGGTTTCAGCTAGACATGATACTTTGCATTATTTGGAGCTCCTGGAGAATTAAATAGCAGTCATCAAAGACTCCTTTTCTCCTGTAAAGAAGAAACCATGAAAAAATTTTCTCCCATGCTAAGTAAATGACAAGGACAGCCACGATGGCTGTGGTATAACTGAACTCCATAAGGACTCCCAGGAATGCTGTTAGAATTCTGTGATGCTGTTTTGGGGGTAAAAAGTGCACTGTAACCCTGCTGGAAATCATAGTAACTGTGTTGCAAATCCATGAATACCCCTGCATTGTACCTTGGCAACCCCTGTCAATTTGTGACTCCTCTGCACTTGGATGTGCCTCTGGGTTCCCAAGCTTCAGAAGTTTTTGCTGAACCAGCACTAAACCATTTAAACTTATCAAGGAGGGAGAGAGTATCTGGATTGTAATGTTGCTTTTGGAAATAAAATCTTAAGTCATAAATCAACTTGCGCAGAGGCCGGATGTTGCAATCATCCTGTGCTTCTTACTTCCTAAGAACAACATTAAAATTCAATAGCGGACTTTGGCAAAAATAGAAAAGGTAACACTCAGATGTCAAGGCCTTCCTGGTGACTTGTTAAATGCTCTAATGGTTCTGCATTGCCCAGGACATTATTATTGTTATTAAACATAAGAGCAGATATCTCTTTGCTTTTGAAATTTATTGTTAATTACTCTTCGATTAATTGGATGATTTTTTTTATAACTCCTATGACTAAATGAGAGAATGGAAGTTTTGGGTTAAATATGACCTATAGATGAATAAAAGGGGAGGGATGAAAAGAACGAAAGGCTAAACAGGTGTCATCTCTTTCCTTACCTCTCAGCTTATAATAAGCTTGAAGACTGGCTAAGATCTGTTTCATGGATTCCTGTGGACAGACTTTAACCCCAGTTGGGAAAAAAGCTGATCTTTTTGTCCGATGCTTTGCCAAATCGAATATCTGTCTCAGGGTTGACACCTTGTACGTTTTTGCTGTAGTTTCAGCTGTTTCGATTCTTGGGGCTTTGTCTATGTCTTTAGTTTCAGAATGGCACATTTTCCTGGAGAGGTCTGGGGAAAAAAAAAAAAAAAAAAGATTGATTTCCTAGTGAATATATACATTTCTGTGATATATGTGAAACATGATAAATGAACAGAATAAACTAAAAAGTATAATCCTCTGGTTTATGAAAGTCTTACTTTGCTGCAACTGCCAAATGCAATATTCCAATGACAAGGCACTTTCAGAAAGAGGGAATAGTATGAGCTGATCAAGTATTAAACACACACACACACACACACACACACACACACACACACTCAAATCATCCTGCCTTTAGGAACTGCCAAATATTGAAATCATTTCCCACACATCTCTCTAAAAATCACTCCCCACTTAGCACTTAAGCCTCCCGAGAGATGCCTCTTTTGATAGACATATAGTTCAAGTGGGGAATAATATAGCATTGTGGTACCCAGAGGTATATCTTGATGAAGTGGAGTGCTTCTAAAAACCTAGGGTGGTGGTGGGAAGGCCACAAAGCAGCCTTCCTGGCTAACGGCAGTCCGAAGATTTCCATATGGGTGAGCTGAGGGTGTCAATCTGGCTGAAAGTGAGTTAGGGCCAGAACATGTCTCAGAGTTGCATTTACAGAGCAAGCTTGTTATTTTATGCAGTGTTGAGGGTAAAGAGGAAGGGGCAGGCAAAGACCAAAGACTGGAGACTGGCAGAGAACTCAACGCCCCAAGCCGTTTCTTCCTACGGCTCTGCTGTGTCTTTAGGGTTAGGTCTAGACTCCAATTTGAACTCGCTAGAGTAATAACTTACATTCACTGAGCACTTTTTTTGTTTTGACTTTTTTTCATATGTATTATATCATTCTCACAAAAGCTTTACTATATCGATGAAACAGGTTTTTTCAGTTTACCACACAGTAGGGTAGTGAGGGTAGAGGTATTAGAGCATGTTAACAGTGTGGTCAAATCTTTTTTATTTTTTATTTATTGATTTTAGAGAGAGAGGAAGGGAAAGAGAGAGAGAGAGATAGAAACAATGATGAGAGAGAACATCGACTGGCTGCCTCCTGCATGCCTCCCATTGGGGATCAGGTCCACAACCTAAGCATGTGCTCTGACTGGGAATCGAACTAGCAACCTCTTGGTGCATGGGTCGATGCTCAACCACTGGGCTACATCAGCTGAGCCAGTGTGATCAAACCTTGAGCCCTTTCCCACTTGATCTTTGCCTTTTATCCATTACCCACCTAAGAAAAGTATTCTTGATGAACAGCTAGAACCACTCACTGTGGCTCCTTGGGACCATAGGCATGTGACTTACAGAGATTTATATTCCCATTTTTCTAAAAAAGGCCCTCGAAATCTTATCTTTTGAAATTTTGTGCAGACAAGGGAACCAAGCAGAAATCCAAGCAGGGTAGCTGCAGAGCAACTCAAATCTTGCTGCAAGAATAAACATCCTTCCTTCATTCCAGGGGGTCGACAGAGTCCAAGTGGAAGCACATATTTTTGTTACTTTGAGGAGTCTCGGGGTACTTTGTCAGTTTGGGGCAGTGATCAGTTCTCAGGAATCTCCAGAAAGGAAAGGAGCTGAGAGGTGCATTTGCTCGCCCAGCTGCACACCACACCGATCAGTCATACTCTCTGAGTGTAACGTGGGCGCCCGGCAGAGGAGTCCAGATAACCCGCCTCAGGCTGACTGACACCCGGAGGAGAGCAGAAGGCAGGGGGTGTCTGGTGAACAGAAGCTCTGGCTCTGCCCGTCTGCCACGCTCCCCTTCTCGTTGCTCAGTTCCCTCCGTGGTGTCGTCATCCACAGGCTGGCTTCCCCCAAATTACACGTGCTTGCCCATGTTCACGTTCAAAGAGAGCCTTTTCCTGAACTACGGTTGATGCACCATGTGTCTGGGCCAGCACCGGCTGCGCAGAAATCCGGCCGAGCTGTTGCACAGGGCAGGGGACCCACACCGCCCCCGAGGCGCATTCTAACTGTGGAGTGGGGTCCGTTTCCCCGAGTCAGCTGCGTGGCAAAGGGGAAGGTGCCCATTTAACATCGGGGCAAAATGCAAGAAGGGAACAGGAGCTGAGCCTACAGCCATTAGTGCCTAATGCCGTTGGTAAAATGGACATTTTAGTTTAGGAATGTTAATTTTTAATAACCCTTTCAAACAGTGATCAATTACAGTGTGATCGTTGTTAAGTTTTTGGACTTATATTTCAATTACCATAAAGCATAAAGGGGAAACTGTGCACCACTGGATAATTCCTGGCCTACCTGGCGGGGTGAGTGCGGGTGGTGGGGACCCAGCTCCCCAGCAGCCTGCGCTGCCCCGTGTTCTCAGCGTCTGCCTGCACAGGGGGAGTCCAGTGGTCCTGCGCTCACCCCCACCATCCTCAGTGCTCTGGGCTTGGCTCTGTTTTTACTTTGTTATGTTAGGCCCTGTAGACGTCTCTGAATAACTGGTATTTACTCCATCCTGGCTCTGGGCAGAGTGCCCCTGTCCTGAAATTTTTCCCAGTTGGATCCTCTGGATCGTAACACTTTACTCATCTCAAGGCTTGCTCGCACAGATCCTGCTTGATCTGGTCTTTGGATTTCACCCTGTCAGGATGAGATGGTAAGGGGGTGAGAAGGTCAAGTTTCTCAGCATTTCCACCAGCTCTGACTTGTTCCCATTCCCCTAAGTGTTCAATTTCCCCCTATCTTCCCCACGTGAACATGTTTACACAGTTGGTGGTCAGCAGGTATGAATTAGGATGATATGAGGCTTGGTTTGCTTGGGATATCCTAGTGTATTCTGTTATACTTTCATTCTTAAATGTGCCCTTGTTTGAAAAATAAATCATATAAGTACCCGATCTTTAATGTCTCCCTGCTGGAGGAAATCCAAGGCAAATAGTCCACCTTCCTGTAGAAAGCACCTTGTTGCATTTTTTTTTTAATCCTCACTCGAGGACATTTTTGCATTTATCTTCTGAAAGAGTGGGAGGGAGGGTGGGGGGAAACATCAATATGAGAGAGACACCACACAACCCCAACAGGGGCCGGGGACAAACTGCAACCGAGGTATATGCCCTTAGTGGGATCCGAACCCAGGACTCTCTGGTCCGTGGGCCTACACTCTAACCACTGAGCCAAGCTGGCCAGGGCCCTTGTTGCATTTTTTAATATCTCTGTTTAGATCATTTTTTCCTTTAAGCTGAAAATTACCTCCCGGTGGCTTCCACACATCAGTCCTATTTCTGTCCTCTGGTAATGCAAAGACTTAATTACAGATACCTCCATAAACAATTCTTTATGTCTATCTTATATTAGGCAGTTCTCTACTTTAGGCTAAACATTCTCTACCTTTTTCTGGTTTCTTGTATCACATGAGTATTGAAAACCTTAGCCTGCTGTGTTTCTCCAGATTACATAAAGCCAACCACAGGGGACTCCTTGTAATAGTACTTTTCACCTGAGCAGGGATCAGAATATTTTGACTGTGTCCCCATCTCAAGTCATTGCTAGAGAAGATATAGGGGCAAGATCTCTGAGAACAGGCAGGTCCGGTTACCTGGGTCCAAGGATATTTACAGGACAGGTCACTGTGACAAAGTCTGTGTCTTTCCCAAGGATTTCAGATTAAATATGCCAGAAATTTTTTAAAGAATTAAAATATGGAATATTAAAGATTTCAAGGAGGTAAAAAGAGCTGCTGTTTATTGGAGCCAATGAAAGCACTCATGGGTAAAGCAGTGAGATCATATTGGGCGCTGTCCTCCAGTGCTGCATGAACTGCATCCTTAATATTGAACTGAATTCTGATGCTTTGGACGTATTTTCATGAGTTGATATTTTTAGTTTATATAAGTATTTGGGTAAAAATAAGTAAAGGTTTAATGAGAATAAATTGGTATTTGAAAGACTTGCTATCAAAAGGGAGAATATTTAATAGAAGACTGGAAAATTCTTTTGAGGCAGAAATATTTCTCTGAGATGATGACATGACATGGGTCTAACCATTGATGATGAGCTGGCTGCCATTAACAACTGTCTCTGGATGAAGTTCAAAGTTAGAAAGAGAAAAGAAGGGCAAAGTGATTTCAGAAAGAACAAAAAAACCCTTATCTTTTCCAGAGTTCAAGCATATTAGAAAATTTTAGTTATATAGATGATAAATTTTGACTAAAATTAATGTAATTGTACTATACTTTATTGTAGATTAATCAACAGGAAAATAATCCTAAGCCAATAGTTTTTGGAAACAGTAATATCATTGAATGAGGAAAAGACAAAAATGAAAATGAAGACATGGGTCTGGGCAGAACTTCTAAATACAGATGAATAGCTAATATTAATGGTGCTTACTTTCTAAATTAAACTTAAATATGCTCATTGTTTGTAAAAGAAAAATGTGGTAGCAACACAAATCATAGGTCATTTAGCTATTCAAAATGTTTTAATAGTGCCAGTGGTACGTAGGGCACTGGCTTTGTGACTTACTGGCTGTGTAACTTGGATGTCCTTGAACTATCCTTGCCTGAGTTTCCTCACTCTTATAGGGTTCCTGTGATGTAAAATGAGTGACTGCATGTGCAGCTCTTAAAATTGTGTTGGGCACAGTGTTAAGTGCTCAGTAAGAACTCCTGGATCTGATCATTCCTGTACTCACCTCTTGCCATCGCTGTTCCTTGCTAACACGCTGGTCCTTGATATTGCATCTCTGTCCAGACCAGACTGTGCATGCCCCAAAGTCTTTCAATGCTTTGCTTCAGTGCTCATCTCGAGCTTGTCTGTTACTTCAGGAGGGCCCTTCTCATCCTTCTTTGTTAGTTGGGCTCCTGTTTGTCCTAATAGGGACAGCTTCGAAGCTTTCTCTCCTAATTTTTCTCAGATCCCATGTTCAGAATTCATTCATGGCCCCCTCCTGTTTCTCCAGTGTGGCTCATATCTCTATTGCATTTACTGATCCACTATATTCATTACATGCCTATTGTTTCGGGCCCAGCACAGTATACGTGGTAAATTATTTGAACAAATGTCATGGAACTTGTGTTGTAGTGCTTGCTGT